TGCAAAACGCATGTGGCTGTAACCCAATGTCCATCCTACATGTGACTTCATTCAATCCCAGCCAGGCTGGCATCGCCCCCCCCCCCCTCGATTCCCGCGCATGCGGTGTCATTTTTTGTTCGAACATATCACTCTGTCGCGAATCCTTTTAGATCACCGAGCGGGGCGCGGGCGCGCGGCCGCTGCGCGCGCATGTCGATATCCTTCAAAACACACGGTGTCATCAACAAGTCCACCATCCCGCTTCAAGAAAACCTTAAAACACATGCGACTGTCTCACCGGCAAATTCTGAAAAAATCTGCCCGCGCGCTCTTACCAAATCCGTCAAACGCACATTTGTTGTCAACATTCCTGTCGAATCGGGCTTGTTGGGGAACTTCTGCGCGCGTCGATCTCATTCAACAGCGGTCGCGCGCCTGCCAGGGCCGCGATCCTTCGTGACAATTACCGCGCGGGGCACATGCGCGCGACCGCCGCGCGCGCAGGTCGACCCCCCCCCAAACACATTTGCGGCTTCGACAATTTCAAGATTGAGCTTCATGGAATCACGCGAATCGCACCATGCATCCTCGCAAAACCATCAAACACAAACCGGCGCGGGCTTTCCGATTCCCCCCAAAACATTCTTTAATGTGCAAATGCTGCTGTCTTGCGAGCAACTTACGCGCGCGCGCGTCGAACGCCCTTGCGCGCGTGCTGGGGGGGGGGGGAGCGCGATCCGCGTCGTGTAATGCCGCGCGGGCCGCTCGCGCGCGTCGGCCGCGCGCGCGCGTCGAACTCCTTCCATCGCTTCGGCGGGCGTGGTCAACATTGGCGCCGTCATTGGCCTTGCCGTCGCCGTCGCCGCCATCGTCGCCGTCGCCGCTACTGCCATCGTCGCGTCTTCCGTTGTCGGCGTCGCCATGATGCCGCGCCCGCTCGCGTCACCGACTCGCACTGAAGTGCCCGCTGGAAGTGCCCAGCGGTCAGCGCCGCCGCGGCCGCGTCGGTCGCGCCAAACTAGCTGGCCGCTGCGCGTGCGAGCATGCGCGGGCCAGCGCGGCCGCAGGGGTGCGCCAGCCAACGCCAAGCACTCATCGCAATCGCTTCCGCCTTTTTTTGTGTCGAAACCAAGTTGTGGGCGGGTGCGTGTGGAATGTTTGTGCGAGCAGTGGAGTTGACAAATTCGAGTTCGGCAGGGTGATTTTCTTGATATACAAAGAAATAGGTTCTACCACCTTCCCCCCCAGGACTCGTCGATTCACCGGGAACGGATGCAAAACGAATCTGTTTCAGACCCAATGTCTATCCCACTTGTACATTCATATTATCCCAGCCAAACTGGTTTCGCCCCCCCTCCCCCCCCTCGGTTCCTTTGCAAAACGTGTTATTTGCGCGCACTCGTTTTATCAACAATCATATTTTTCAAGCAGCTGTTGCAACGCAGACGTGACTAAGTGCACGCGCGCGCGTCGTCGCGCGCGCATGCCGGAGTCCCTGCAAAAGCCTTCGGTTTCGGATTGATGTTCAAATCGGCTGTCCAACAAAACGCAAACACATGGTTTCGCAACACGGATTTTCAACCAAAGCGTGCGCGCGCGTTCTTGCGAATTCTTAAGACAACCCAGAGATTTTTTGGAAACAAACATGGTCACAACATGCTACCGAACGGGCTTCGCGCGCGCATGTCGAAATCGTTCGAACGCCCTTTCGCGCGTGCTGGGGTGGCGCGATCCGCTTCAAACAATACCATGCGGGCCACTCTCGTGCGTCTGCCGCGCACGCATTTCGAACTCCGTCCAAAACCTTCATCACCGACTCGAAGACGCTGTCATCGTCGTCTGCGTGATCAGCATCGGCGCCGTCACTGGCTGCCCCGTCGTCGCTGGCAACATCGTCACCAGCATCGCTAGTATCATCGTGTCTACCGTTGTCGACATTGCCATGATACCGCGCCCGCCCAAGTCGCCGACTCGCAGCGAAGTGCCCGCTGGAAGTGCTCAGCGGTCAGCGCCACCGCGGCCGCGTCGGTCGCGCCAACTAGCTGGCCGCTGCGCGTGCGAGCATGCGCCGCGGGCTAGCGCGGCCGCAGAGATGCACCAGCCAACACCAAACACTCATCGCAGTCGCTACGCATGGGGTTTGCAAACCCAGTTGCGGGTGGGTGGGAGGGATGTTTGTGCGGGCAATGGAGTGGATAATTTCAAGTTGAACATTTGTAAATTCTCCTTCTCTAGAATGAGAACCGACTCTGCCCCCCTCCCGGCGTTATCCGCCCCCCTTCGGGTGTGTAAATCATTTATGAGTCTGACCACATTTCCATTTTAAATATGAATTTGCACTATCCCAAGGGGGCCGGTATCGCTCCCCCTTTGGCTCCTTCGGAAAAACAATACGCGGGGACATTTTTTGTTCTAGCATAAGATTTTTGTCCGAGAATCCCTTGCGCAAAAATGGACGAAGTGCACGCGCGCGCGTCGTCGCGCGCGCATGCCGTAATCCTCCAAAAACCTTCGGTGTCGGAAGGATTTCGCAAGAGAGTTTCCAAAACACATAAAAACACACAGGGTTTCGCAACACTGATTTGCTAAAAAGCTTACGCGCGAGCTTTTGCGAAATCTTAAGAAAGCCATCGTTTTTTCTTCAAGATTTTAACAACATGCTGCCAAACGGGCTTCGCGCGCCATTGTCGAAATCTGTCGAACGCCCTTGCGCGTGTGCCGTCGCGAGAATCCTCTGCAAAAGTGGGACGCACTGCAGACGCGCGCGTCGTCGTGCGCGTATGCCGAAATCCTTCACAACCCGTCGGTTTCGGACGGATTTCAACATCGTGTGTCCAAACAACCTACAAAAAACAAGTTTTCGCAACACGGATTTTCAACAAAAACGTGCGCGCGCGTTCTTGCGTCGTCGTCGTCGTCGCCGTCCTCCCTCCTCCCGCGTCGTCGTCGTCGTCGTCGTCGCCTACGTCGTCCTCTGTCTTTCCTCGTGTTCGTCGTCGTCGTCCTCTTTGGCGTCGTGGTCGTTTCCGTTGTTGTTGTCGCCGTGGTCGTCCTTCCTCGTCTTCCCTCGTCATCGTCGTCGTCCGTCGTCGGCGTCTCGTCGTCGTCCCTCCTATTTCGTCGCCGTCGTCGTCGTCGTTGTCGTCGTGTTCCCTCCTCCCTTGTCGTTGTCGTCGTCGGCGTCGCCGTCCTTCCTCCTTCTTCGTCGTTCGCGTCGTCGCCGTCCTCCTTCCTCCCTCGTCGTTGTCGTCGTTGTCGCCGTCGTCGTCCTCCCTCTTCCCTCGTCGTCGTCTTCGTTGGCGACGTCGTCGTCGTCTTCGTCGACATCGTCGGCGTCGGCGTCGTCGTCGTCTTCGTCGTCGTCGACGTCGGCGTCGTCGTCGTCGCCGCCGTCGTCGTCGTCGTCGTCGTCGTCGGCGTCGTTGACGTCGTCGTCATCGTCGTCGGTGTCGTTGTCGTCTTCGTCGGCGTCGTCATCGTCGTCGTCGTTGTCGTCGTCGTCGGCGTCGGCGTCGTCGTCGTCTTCGTCGTCGTCGTCGGTGTCGTCGTTGTCGTCGTCGTCGTCGTCGTCGTCGTCGTCGTCGTCGTCGTTTTCGGCGTCGTCGAAGTCGTTGGAGACGTCGTCGGTGTCGTCGTAGTCGTTGTCGGCGGCGTCGTCGTCGTTGTCGCTGTCGTCGTCGGCGTCGCGGTCGTTGCCAAGTGCCATTTGGTACCCACCGTCACGGTCTTAAGAGATTTTGCAAACCAAGCTGCGGGTGGGTGGGTGGGATGTTTACTCGAGCAGTGGAGTGGACAACTCACTGCGAACAGAAATTAATTGCACCACGTAGATTGCACCACGTAGATTCTTTATCTTGAAAAAGGGTTTTCGGGTCTACCTTCCCCCCAGACTTATCGGCCCTCAGGGGATGTGCAGTTTACACATAACTCTGCCCCGTCGTCCATCCTTACTATGAGTTCGTATCATCCCAGCCAAACTGGTGTCCCCCTTCATCCTTTGGAACAGTAGTATGCGCGCGCATTCGTGTATCAACATTCTGCAGTTTCCACGAAGCACCTGCAAACAACGGGGCGAAGTGCGCGCACGCGCGTCGCCGCACGCGCATGCCGATATTTTTTCAATCCGTAGGTTTAGCAAGGATTTCAGAATCGAGTGTCGCGAAAACAGGTAAAACAAATGGTTCGCAATGTTGGACGCTTGTTTTCCCCAAGCCGCTCTCGGAGCCTCGGGGAAGGGGGGGCGGGCCAGCCTCGGCCGCGTGCGGCCGCGCGCGGCCGCGCGCGGGAAGCCTCCTTCGTACAGGCAAGACGCGGGAATAAGGACCACCTTGGGCTCAGGAGGGGCCTTGGTTTTGGGGCCGTCCCTGAGGTCTATTCAAATAAGACGTTTCTAGTTTCCTCCTCACGCAAATGGTCTTACACCGATGCACCGGTTCCGCCACACATGCATTTTCCTCGCTGTGTGTGTCCAGGGTTTTGCGTCGGGCTTGGCAGGCTGTCTTGGGCTGCGTGCGACAGGCAGTCGGACAGGAGAGGTGTGGTGCTTTGCGAGTTCAGTAAGAAGCAGTTCCTCAGATCTATGTCGGGGACCCTATTCTGGGCCGAGGCTCGCCGTGGCCCGAAGAAAAGTAATACCTTCCTTCCTGCTTCCGTGTTCCTCTAGTAGCGCGATGACTGTAGTCCGCTCCGCCACCTTGCAGGGGGGGGAGGGAGGCAGACCAGAGGGGCGCCCAGCTCCCACGGGCCGAGCGGGGCGCGGGAGCGCCCGCAGAGCTCCTCCCTCGCCACCTCCGCAGCCGTTTTGGCCCGAGGGCTCGAGCTCGGGGCGCCTGGGCCTGGTCTCTCCATCGCGTACCCTCTCGCGATCATTTCCCTGCTCGACATCCGACTGTGCGAATAGAGATGATTTCTACGCCATGGTAAGGGGTGGGAGGGAAGGGTAGGCGGTCAGATATGACGCGAGCGCACCTCGCTTGCCTCCTCCGCCTCTTCCCGCCTCCCCCCCCCTGTCCCTGCCCATGGGCCGCCGCATCTCCGTGGCCCTGGCGTCCGCGTGCCTGCACTGCGCGGCGAGCGCCCTGGAGCTGACGCCCCAGAACTGGGCCGAGCACGTCCAGGGGCGGACCGTGTTCCTGAAGTTCTTCGCGCCCTGGTGCGGGCACTGCAAAAAGCTGAGGCCCGAGTGGAGCAGGCTAGCAGCCGACTTCAATGCTTCCACATCTCGGAGCCACGGACGTTGGCAACAGCACCGACATTGGGGGTAGCTGCCTCCGGGAGGGTGGTCCTGGATTTTGGTGTTGGTGGTAGTCCTTCTCGGCCACCTGGCTGAGAGGCCTAAGCGCTACCATAATCACCGAGATCGGGAATCATCACCCCTCGTTTGAGGCGGCCGCCGATATCAGTGTTGTGGCCCACTTCTGGGCCTCCGACCTTCCGCACTAGTCGCCGAGGTGGACTGCACGGGCGGGGGCAAGCCGCTCTGCGAGCGGCACAACGTGACCGGGTACCCCCAGCTTCTGTGGGGCAGAGCACCCGAGCTGGAGGTCTACGCCGGAGGCCGAGACTACGCGTCTCTCAAGCGCTTCGCCGACGGGAACCTCGGGAGCAGCTGCGGGCCTGGCGATCTGGGCCTGTGCAGCCAGGGCCGCCGTGCCCTCCTGGAGAAGTTCATGCGCTTATCCCCGGAGCAGCTTGACGGCAAGATAGGGGTGGCAGAGAGGCAGCTGAAGAGGGCAGAGTATGCCTGGATCACCATGGAGCATAACATGTCCGAGAAGCTGAAGCGTGCCGAGAGGCGCAGGGACAAGAAGATCCAACAGATCAAAAGGAAACACAACCTGCTCGACGGATCTCAGTCCGGTCAGCGTGAGCTGACCCTGGAGACCTGGGAGAGCGCGACGTCTGGCAAAGTCGTCTTTGTGAAATTCTTCGCACCCTGGTGTGGGCACTGCAAGGCCATCAAGATCGGGGGCTGCTGCAGGTGTCCCTGGCACAGGGTGCCCCCAGCTTCTCCCTCCCCTCTGGCCCCGTGGGAGGTGCTGCTCTTGGCCTCGTGTCAAGTCGGGCATGTCCCTCTACAGGAGGAATATTCAAAAGTAGTCCAAATTTTTGTCTGGTACGATTTTGTCAATAATTTTCGATTATGAATATGTTCTGGGTATTTTTGATTTTTCGTCCAAAGTCCGCCTGTGGGGGGACATGCCCGACTGAACCGTGGGGGCCTCCTTGAAGGCCTGGGGGACACCGTGGGCCAGGGACACTCCCCGGCAACCCCCGACGAGAACGACTGGGACCGCCTCACGGGCGACTACGAGGGCACCGCCGGCGCCCTGGTGGCCGAGGTGGACTGCGCGGGGAGCGGCAAGCCGCTGTGCGAGCAGCACGGCGTCACCGGCTTCCCGAGGCTGCTGTGGGGCAGCCCGCCGGAGGTGGAGGGTTTCCCCGAAGGGCTTGGGCGACCCGTCCTCCTCCTCCTCCTCCTCCTCCTCCTCCTCCTCCTCCTCCTCCTCCTCCTCCTCCTCCTCCTCCTCCTCCTGCCCTCCCTCCCTCCTCCTCCTCCTCCTCCTCCCCCCTCCTCCTCCTCCTCCTCCTCCTCCTCCTCCTCCTCCTCCTCCTCCTCCTCCTCCTCCTCCCTCCTCCTCCTCCTCCTCCCCCTCCCCTCCCCCTCCACCTCCCCCTCCCCCTCCCCTCCTCCTCCTCTCCTCCTCCTCCTCCTCCCTCCTCCTCCTCCTCCTCCTCCTCCTCCTCCTCCTCCTCCTCGGGTTGCCTACGGCCCCGGTGGAAGCCGTGCAGCCAGAGGAGCTCCTGATGTACACCGGGGCTCGGACCTATGCCGACCTCAGGCGGTTTGCGGACGAGCACTTGGGCCCAACCTGCGGATCTGGCGATCTGGAGGCATGCGATGAGACGCACCGGTCGTCCATGGAGGCTCTCGCTCAGCTGTCGCCCGAGAAGCGGGAGGCCGCAGTGAAGCAAGCGGACCAGGAGATAGAGAAAGTTGTCAAGGCGTTCGAGAGTACGCACTGGGATATACTTCTTGCGCTTGATCTGGCAGAGCAAGAAAAGAACAACAAGACCAAAACGATCAACGATCAAGGATTGGCTGAGGCTAAGCAGGTCCAGGCCTGGAACAAGAAGCAGCCGCCTGGTTTCTGGAAGCCGCCGGCCAGGACAGGGAACGCACCCCAGAGTACTCTGGACGAGCTGGCTGCAAATTTTGACATGGCTTTCCAGTATTTCCTGGACGGGCAGATGCCTTTTTTTATAGTTTGTTTGGTCGCAGTAGGGGCGCTCATCGCTGCGTGGAGGCGCCAGAGTTCAGCGAGTGACGAGGAAGAGGAGTGGTGCGACCTCAGACACATCATTCTGGATAGCGATGCGGACGTTTCGAACGCTAGGAGGAGACTAGATGCTGGGGAGAGCTTCTCCGACGTCGCTAAAGAGTGCAGCACGTGCCCCTCTCGTGCTGTTGGCGGCTCGCTGGGAAGAGTAGCAAAGGGCAAGATGACCCAGCCTGAGCTTAAGAGGGTCTGCTTCGACCCAGCTTCGAAGCTGGGGGAGGTCCTCGGCCCGATCAGGACGCAGTTCGGCCTCCACCTTGTTGTGATTGAGTCCAGGCACAGCATAACTCTGCCGACTGTGGCACATCGGGTGGAGGCCAAGAAAGAGCAGTGAGCGGTGCACGCGCACGGATCCGTCTCAGCGTCGCTGGTTGCCAAAGCAGAGCGCGGGCAGTGTGTCTATGCACACATATAGTATGTGCTTCGGATACTCGCGTATTTCGATGCATTGCACCACATCGGATTCACCGCATACGTTGCATCACGTATGTTGCTTCATGCCTGTATATGCATGTATATGTATAGGTATATGTAGTCATGTATGTCTGCTTGTATGTATGCATGTATGTATGCATGCATGCATGTGTGTAGATGCGTACGTATGTATATGTGGGTCTAAGTCTGTATGCGTGTTTGCACGGATGCATGCATATTTGTATGCATGCATACATGCATACATGTATGCTGGTATGTCTGTATAAGTTGGTATATGCATGCGTGTGTACCAACATATATATATATATGTGTATATATGCATTAATTTGTGTGTATGTATGCATGCATGTATGTGTGTATATATAGAGATATATCTGCATGCATGCAGGTATGTATGCATGCATGCATGTATGTATGTGTGTATGCATGCATGCATGCGTGCACGCACGCACGCATGTATGTATATGTCTATGTCTGTGTGTCTGTCTGTCTGCCTGCCTGTCTGTCTGTCTGTCTGTCTGTCTGTCTGTCTGTCTGTCTGTCTGTCTGTCTGTCATGTCTGTCATGTCTGTCAAGTATGTATGTATGTATGTATGTCTGAGTGAACGTATGTTTGCATCCATGTATATCAATATGTGCGTAAGTATGTAGGTAGGTCGGGAGGTATGTATGTCTGTATGCATGAATGTATTTATGTATGGACACATCGGTATATATATATATATATATATATGTATATTGGTATGTATACGTGCATGTAAATAAGCACATATCTCTTCATACATATACATAGATATGTATGTGTGTGTATGCGTACACACATATATATATATATATATGTACATGGGAGATCCCGGCCCTGGGACCCTGGGCAGGCCCCCCGCTTGTACATTCTTGCCCCCCCCCCTTGGGTGGTTCTCCTGGAGGCCCCGAGGCTCTCGGACAGTCGGAGAGCGCTCCAAGGGCGCCCGGGATAGCTCCCAGACCGCCCAAGAGGCCTCCAGAATGCCCCGACAGAGGCCCAAGAGCTTCCAAGAGGGCCCCAGGAGGCCAAAATCGCTTCATTCCCAATGTAACAGGTATATTTCTATCAGATTCGCATGTCCCGATCTTAACGGAGTCCAAGACTGCCCGAGAGGCTCCAGAGGAGGCTCCAAGACGGCTCCAGATGGCCCCAAGACGGCCCAAGAGGGCCCCAAGATGGTTCAAGGAACGCCGAATACAGCCCAAGAGAGCCCCAAGAGGGCCCCAATGGAACCCCAAAAAGGCACCAAGAGAGGGTCGTGGGGCAGTAATTCTCTTTGGGTGCGTGGCTTCCAAAATGCCCTCATGACCCTCCCAGAGGCCTCCAGGACGCCACCAAGAAGCCCCCATAAGCTCCCGAGAGACCCCCAAGAGGCCCCGAGAGGCGCCCCAAAGCCCCCGCAGAGGCCTCCAAGAGGACACAGCCTTTCGCAGCCGCGTGTAGCGCAGGGCGCGGCCATCTTTTCATATACTGTGCGCCGTTGGAGCAGTCCGGATCTGGCTGCTACGCGATCCTTGCACATTCCCTTCCCTTCCTCCATCCCTCCGCTGTCCACCCCCCACAAGCAGCGTCTTCTCCCATCCTTCTTTCCGTTTGTAATTCTCGCATCTCTCTGATCAATGTACCCTCGGCGTTCCTCTCTCCTACCTTTTACTTTCGAGATGGGCCGACTTCACATGCGACCCACAGCCCATGTCAGATGGGCTGACCCACATGCTCCCCGTCCTTGCTTCTTATAGGTGTGTACACTTATATGTTTAAGCATGCCATCTAGTTGTGTATGCTTGTAGTTATATATTTATGCATGCATGCATGTATGCATCTAGGATATGTTATGTATTTATTGCGTAGTGCATGTATGTACTTATGCAGTTACCTGTGCATGTAGTGTCGATCTTTTTAGCTACACACATTTGTATAGGTACATGTATATGCATGTGTATGTGTATATGTATACCTATATGTATTTATGTATGTATGTACGTACGTACGTACGTACGTATGTCTGTCTGTCTGTCTGCCTGTCTGTCCTTTGTCTGTCTGTCTGTCTGTCTGTCTGTCTGTCTGTCTGTCTGTCTGTCTGTCTGTATGCATGCATGCATGCATGCATACATGCATGCATGCATGCATGTATGTATGTATGTATGTATGTAGGTATGTATGTATGTATGTTTGTATGTATGTATATATGTATGTGTATATATATATATATATATATATATATATATATATATATGAATATCGGAGTGTAGGCCGCGGGCGGGCCTGGAACCGCGGCCACGGTGACGCAGGGGGATCTGGGGCTCCACGAGCGCCCTCGTGGCCTCCAAAGTGGCCCCATGGGCGCACAGATGGCCCAAAAATCGGTACGATAGTCTACCGGACCGGTCCATCACACCCCGAGAGCGCCGAAGATGCCTTCTGAACGGCCTCCGAAGGCTCAGGCTGCGCCAGGACGGCCCAAGGCAGGCTTCAGTGGGCGCCGGAGGCCGCAGACGAGTCCCCCAGGAGGCAAAAGTCGTTGATTTGCTTTTGGAGTTATTCAATGTTCCGGGGGTCCTCCACTTTTCGAGTTTCAGACAATCGCAGACGGCCCAAGAGGCCCTCAAGACCGCCCCAAAACGGCCCAAGAGGCCGCCAGGGGGGCCCCGGGAAGGCCTAACAAGGCTCCAAGACGGTCCCAGGGACGCCCAAGTCGGCCCAAGAGGCTTTACACACGCCCCCAACCTCCAGCGGGGAGCATGAACCGACATTTCGAGTCTTTCTCCCCAAGAGGCTCCCAGGAGGCCCCAAGAAGGCGCCAGGACGGCCCCGGGCAGGCTTCAGTGGGCGCCCGAGGCCCCAGACGACTGCCTGAAGAGGCGCAATTCTTTGATTTCCACATGGTTTTTGAATGCTTTTGGGCTCTCTACTTATCTTGTTTCCGACAATCCAAGACGGCCCAGGAGGCCTCCAGCACCGCCTCAGGACGGGCCCAGAGAGGCCCCAGGAGGGCCCCAAGACGGCTCAACAGGGCTCCATGATGGCCCCACGGGCACCCAAGACTGCCCAAGAGGCTTTACGGATGGCCCCAAGGTGGGCTCAAGAGGGGGGGACGGACAGACAAGCCATACGCCGGAGCGCGTGGGCGAAGGTGAAAACTGCCAGCCTCTTCTCACCGCTTTGCGGGGAAGGCGGCACGCCTACTCTCTAATGTACCTCTTGCGCTGCAGGGGGAAGAGGAAGAAGGAGGGGGAGGAGGAGGAGGAGGAAGAGGGAGGGAAGGGGGAGGGAGAGACACAACATCAATTACACATTGATGCCACGCTGCTGGTTCGCTGACACAATGAATTATTGCTGGTTCAGACGTGAAGTGCGGAGCGACGGCTTTGCATAAACACTTGGCCCATTCATTCCTGGGCCGGCCTCTTGCACGACCGCACGCGTCTGTGGCTGGTCGCGCGCTTCCTGGTCGGAAGGTGAGGCGCCGCAAAAGTCTGAATCTGTCGCCCTGCATATTTTGCCAAACCGCAGCAGTTGAGACCTTAACAGCTGCACTGTGTAGGGCTGTTGGCCTGATTGCAACAGCACCTGCTCGTTGGGAATTCTTGAAAAGTTAGCGTGGGGAATCTGCAAGATGCGACGTAGGCACCTCGCTTGGAAACCATCTAACCTTCTGCGTTCAGATCTGTTGGGCCATGCCGAATTCAGCGAGTACACGACTTTACTTGCCACTAATGCTTGAACAACTTGAAGCTTTCTACCAAAACTAATTGACGAATGCTTCCAGGCGCGCGCATATGTACATAACTCACCTCAAGCAGCTCCCAATCTTCTGCTCAATTCTCCAGATAACTGCCCGTAGCTAGACAGCGTGGCTCCAAGATATACCATCGAATCTCGTGCTTGGATTTGATCACCACTAGGCGTGCAGAGGTTGATGTCGCAGCGAACCGGCATGAGTTGAAACTTGTTCCAGTGTAGCTCCATACCCACCCGTGCTCCTGCGCGAGCGATTTCTGCCAGCAGGGCTTGAAGTTGATCTTGGTTGCGGTCCACCAACAAAGTGTCACCCACATACAAAAGTATGGCCAAAGACTCGTCCGTTAAAGCTTGTCGCACTCCAGCCTCTGTGTGGCGCGCGGCGTCCCGGATAAACATAGTCATCACCATCACGAACAAGAATGGGGACAATGGGCATCCCTGCGAGATTCCAGAATATTGGTGTTTCTCTGTAGATCGCTGCCGTCCATCTGCAACGCGGAATGTTCTGCCGCCGTAAATGTTGCCAATGATGTTCAGGATGCGGCCCAGGACCTCGAAGTTTCGCAGCGCCTCCAAAAGCGCGGTCACGTTGATCGAGTCGAAGCCTTTTTCCAATCCAGCGCGACGAAGGCTACGCCCCCATGCTTGTCTGCAAATGCCAACTCGATCTAACGACGTACAGCATGTAGTGCGTCTGATGTCCCACGCCCCCGGCGGAAGCCGAACTGTGTTGGCGTTAACCCGTCCTCGGCCCTGCGTCCTGTAGCCGCTTCAAGATGAGAGCTGCCATGAGCTTGTAGGCCACGCGCAGCAGACTGATTGGACGATAAATGTCGCAGTTGTCGAGGGCGCCTTTGTTCGGGTAGACTGTCGAGATCATGGATTGCTTCCAATCCTGTGGCACGGCCTCCTCGTTCCAACATTTCTTGCACAAATCCGTAACCCATTCGAGCCCTCCCGGGTCTGTCGCAATAGCTTTACAATACTCGGCTGGTATGTCATCCATCCCACAAGCTTTGCCACGCTTAAGATTACATATAGCTTTTCTTACCTCTTCTGTTGTGAAATTTTCTTCCAAAACTGGTAGTGGGTCTCCAATCGGGTCGTCGTCGACTAATTGTGCCGGTCGTACTTTCCATTGTTATTTCTCCAAATACTCAGCCGCTGTGTCTGCTTTTTTGAGTGCTGTCGACCAATTCGCCACCCAAGGTCTTTAAGTCTTCCCTGCTGGTGAGGTTTGGGCCAGCAGTTTCTTCTGAGAGCATCCAAACTTCCATTCGATATTTGTGCATCCACCCAAACTGTCTTGTCATGTTTGCACGCTTTGCGGACTTTCTTCAATTGTCTCTTCTCCTCGGCTTTGTCGTTGGCTGTTCTTGCTTGGCTGCGCCGGTCGATCAAGTCGAGCGTGGCTTGCGTGATCCATGGCTTGACGACTTCATCTTGCTTCTTCGGCAAAGTGTCGGTTGCGATACGCATTGCTGTCTTCCCGTAGTCCAACATATCACGCACGGCACGCTCATGGACTCCGCCGCCGCCGAAGACACGCTTTCTAAGAACGACTCCACGTAGGTATTCAAAGCCATCGGATCTTGCACGGCCTGCCTGTTTGGACGTCCTTCCGAACATGTTGTTTGGGTATCTCTCGGCATCGACACCGTAGCAATCACCAAATAATGATCTGTAGCGAGTGCTGCTTCTCGGCGGCTTTCCAGCGTGACAATGTGCGTTCGCAAAGGGGCTTCGCAAAGGAACAAATCCAATATGTTGAATTTTTCTTCTGAAATGGCGTCTGCCGGCAATGCCCCGGCCTCCATGAAAGTGATTTTCTCCTCCAGCGGCTGCTGCATAACAGTGTGAACAATCTGAATGTGACCACTCGTGCAGAATTCCACCACCAAGTCTCGATTCGGTTGCTCCACTTGGTGTAGCGCACGCCGTCCCCAACCCCAGTCTCCCATGACATCTTGCTCTCCCGGCTGAGCCACTCCCTTTCTGGCGTTGAAGTCGCCCAAGAGAAGCTTCCCAGCATCTGCATTGCAAGAGCGGTAAGTCAAATCCAACGTGGTGTAACAATGTCGACATTTTGGTAGAGGCTTAAGGTTATGAGGAGCATAACCGGCAATCAATGCAATCATCCCAGGGTTGATTTTTAGTTATATCTACGCCAGTCGGTCCGATATCTGCTCGTAAACCTTTACCAAGTGTCGGCATGAAGGCGATATGAAGAAAGCAACTACAGCCCATCCTTTGTCGTCGGTGTCCTCTCCTGACGAAATAATTTGATAGCCATTCGCGTCAAGGATCTCTGCCTTCGCTCTGCCCGTCTCCTGCACTGACAAGATGTCGACGCCATAATTCCCTATATGTACGGCAATCTCTTCAATTGTTGTGTCTGTGAGGCCTCGCACGTTCCAAGTCGCCACTTCGAGTCGGCATGGGAGGGGAGGATCTTGAGGGTCCGCTCGTGGGCCACGAGGTACATGAAGATGTGGGCCTAGATGGTTTCCGTGTGCATGGTGTTCACCGTGAGGCTGTAGCCATTCACAAGAAGAGGTATGAGAGCATGTACTCGGCATGGTATCTTTGCCCACGGTCGGTGCATGCGCTCCGTGATGGCTTAGTTGTTCACCTGCTCGGCGTGCATTCGAATGCCCAGGAGGAAAATTGAGTACACCATTATAGGAATGCGCATCGCATCTTCTGTTGTATCGTTGCCCAGCTCAAGTGCGCATGGTGGGGATGAGGGGAGAGTGTCTCGATGTAGGAGGAGACCACCTGCTTGAAGTGCAAAGCTTTCGGCTCCTGCATTGGTCGGAAGAACTATAACCTTGTGCCGATGATAAAAAAGGACCCCCCTTTCCAGGTTAGAGTTGATTATTCAAGACCAAGAAGAGTTTGGTCAGGGGCGCGGGGCGCGGAGGCCGAACTTTTCTTCACTGTGAAAAGTTCACCATCGAGGTTAACTTCCTACTTATGTTGAGAAGATAGCAGCATCAAACGAAGCGAAGACGTTGTCGAGGATGTCTCAAGCGAAACCAACAATTTTTGGAGGCAGCCTCAAGCGAAACGATCAGTTTTTCAAGGATGTCTCAAGCGGAACCAACAATTCTTCGAGGATGTCTCAAGCGAAGCGAGAGACTTGTCGATGATGTCTCAAGCGAAACAAGCTTTATTTCGAGGATGCCTCAGCTTTCGGTCAACTTAACATCATCTCTTTCTCCTCCCACATGCTGGCCTCCGGTAGGCAACATTTATGATCCCCTCGCGACCCCGAAATTTATTATCCCTGTGGGATTAAACTCCGTGGTGTTCGGTTACTCGTACTGGTAGTGGTTGCCAATGCCTGCCGCAAATTCTACTTCGACTCTTTTGCGCTTCCTTTCGCCCCTCCCTTCCGGTTCGCCGCCGTGCGATTCACGATCCCATCGCAGGCCGCATTGAGCTCATGGAGCTTCGCATTGTTCTGTAGGCCTTGCCAATCTTCCCATTCTTTAGACAATATCCTAGTGACCCTGTCCTCGTCGATCTTCACGGACAAAGCCAATTCCCCTCAAACTGTAACCGTGTACGGGTCAGAATCTTCGTCCACGCGTATGGGATAGTTAATGGCCATTGTTTTCTTCAACGTGTACTTGAGACCGAAGCATATGTTGCGTGCTGCTCTCACCAGAGGCGGCCCGTCGGGGGTAGCCCATACGGTGTTACCATTTCTGTCAATGGCAGCGCTCCGTAATTCATTGACGGCCTTGTCTCTGTCGTCAGCCGATTTGTATTCCAACGGTACGGACAAACGGTTCGATGTCACAGCGATCCATTCGGTAGTAGCTTCAATATTCAAGAAACCATCCAAGTTCCCCAAGACTGCTGTAAGCTCTCTTTCATTTGTTGTGCTCGTGCGTGTAACAGAATTTGCACCTGAACCATGCGCAATGCGGCAACTTCCCGTTCGAGCTCCATCAGTTTGTTCAGGGTGTTTGTGTCGATGGATACGGATGCCGATCTCGCAGATGGTGGTCCTGACGTGTACTTTGATTCCAGAACTTCTATCTGCTTCGTGAGGTTGTCGATGTTCGATTGTATGGGTGCCATCGCGTTTTTCAAGTCGTGCTGGGACACGCCGTGCTGCTTGATAGCAGTGATATCCTTCCGAATGGGGTCCAACTGCGTGCGTAGAATTTTCTCCCAAGCTCCAGCTGTTAGAGGTTCGTTGGCGAGAGCTGCGGCTCCTGGGAGATCAGGAAGTTGCCCTCGGCGTTGTTGCTGCTGCTGTAGTTGAAATTCATCGGCTGGTCCACTGTCAGCATCGAGCCCGTCCATTTCATGAAATGGACTGTGGACCCTATGCTGTTTGAACAACTGCCCGACAGGGGTACCAGGCCGTCGCGCGTCGCCATCATCCGAAGAAGCCATGGCCGGGCTGCCAGCCCAGAGAGGCGGAGTGAGGGGAGCGGGCACAGCGGGAAGTTCTGTTTAGAATCGTGGCGCACCCCTGGGGAAACGCGCACCTCGAGCCGAAATCCTTGAGCCAAAATCTCGGCGTCTTCCCAATCCGTAGCCATTTTGGCTCAAGATGGTTGTTGTGTAACGCAGTCGGGCCGCAGGCACTGATGCTTGTCAGTGGGACCAGGCATGGAAGGTTCTCATGTGGCCGTGGCCTGTATCACGTTCCTGCTAGTTGGAATCGCTTGCCGCCGTCTTTCGGCGCGGTCGCTGACAGAACTTCCATCGTTCGCCCCCGCAGTATCTGATGAAGCAGGGTTGGCCGCAAGTGCTTCAACCTCACGGTGACAAGTGACAGTCCCTCTTGGTCTGGAGCCGATGGCAGCATTTCTTCGTGACCATGCTTTGGATATCTGCGATTCGTCTGACCTGCAAGCGATGGGCAGGTGGGGACCATGGTCTTTCGGCACATGGGGGCCGCCACGGGGTTTTGACTCGCACATGCCGCTGATTTTTCCTGATTCCTTCGATATGGAGGGTTCTGAAGCGACACAATGTGTCGAATGTGCGGGATTTGCCAAGCGCATTGTGTTCCTCAGGGAGCAGAGGCACAATGTAAGCGGCAAGCTCTTACAGCGCATCGCGTTCATTGGGATCCGCAAGACTGGTTCCACGGAGCAAGGACAGTTCATGCGTGATGAATTGAAGACAGTTGATCGGTCGGTTGAGGACCCTTTGGGACCACTCCATGATCAATACCTTGCCTCTTTGATGTTCATGCCACTTCGGCATCCATCCGCGCGGTTTCTCGCCAGATTCTATCAAGTTTATTTGCGCTATTTGATGACTTGGTTACGAGTCTCTATACGCAAGTGGGACCTTCAGTTCTGGAACATGACTTGTTTCGACACTCCTTATGCCAAACCAACAGACAGGGATCCTTGCAAACGAACGGCGCCCAACTCGAACAGAACGGCTCTTCTGGAAACCCTTGTTGACAATGTTGAGCGAGTTTTATCGACAGGGACATCTATCCGCCAACGTTGCAGGCGAAGATGGAGGCGCAACGTTTTCCCATGAGCAATGTAGTGGCAGCTGACATTGCATCGATGAATCTTCTTTTCGGGAACATTTCGGAGACATTGCGCCCTCTCTCCCCTGAGGGCTGGTAGCGCCCAAAGGCAAAACTTCGAAAGAGCCAGCCAGATGCCGGAGGTTGGGCAGTGAAGTTGGACGAGTTGGAGGAAATGGCTGAGACGGATCCTGGCGTGGCTTCGCTATTGATCCGCATGTGTAGATTGTTAGTTCACGATCTTGTCTGCTTGCCTCATGCCGTGCCTGCCGCGCGCAGCGGGTTCGGGCGAGCAGCGACAGCAATGGTTGCGCCAAAAAGTGTGCTCTCATACGTATCTTTCGGCGGAGAAGAGCCAGATCTGTGGAATCGCGGACCTAGCAGCCGATCCTTGAGATTGGCGCCCGTATAATAAGCTGGTGCTGCCGACAATGGCTGTGGGCGTGGAGCCGCCAGCCAAGGATTCTGATCTGTCGACGTCGGCGCCCCCACTGGGCGTTTCGGCCGAATCCAGGCGGCAATTTTGTTCACTTTTGCAATCGTCTTTCGCATTATAGTGCATATTATTATTTTCATTATTTATTTATTTATTTATTTCTGTATGTATGTATTTATTTATCTATTTATTTATTTATTATTATTATGTGCCCTTTTGAGCCACGGGCTCGCGAATAGTCTTTCGCATTCTAGTGCAGAGAGCGACGGCCGGAAGCGCCAGACAGCAGAACAAATCGAGTTCTTCCCAAGAGGCTCCCAGGAGACCCTAAGAAGGCGCCAGGGCGGCTTCGGGCAGGCTTCAGTGGGCGCCCGAGGCCCCAGACGAGTGCCTGGAGAGGCGCAAATCTTTGATTCCCATCTGGTTTTTGAATGTTTTTGGGGCTCTCTGCTTATCGAGTTTCCGACAATCCAAGACGACCCAGGAGGCCTCCAGCGCCGCCTCAGGACGGGCCCAGAGGCCCCTGGAGGGCCCCAGGACGGCACAACAGGGCTCCATCATGGCCCCACGGGCACCCAAGACGGCCCAAAAGGCTTTACAGACGGCCCCAGGGTGGGCTCAAGAGGGGAAGCATGAACAAACATCTCGGCGTCTTCCCAATCCGTAGCCATTTTGGCTCAAGAGGGTTGTTGTGTAACGCAGTCGGGCCGCAGGCGCTGATGCTTGCCAGTAGGGCCAGGCATGGAAGGTTCTCATGTGGCCGTGGCCTGTATCGCGTTCCTGCTATTTGGAATCGCTTGCCGCCGTCTTTCGGCGCGGTCGCTGACAGAACTTCCGTCGTTCGCCCCCGCAGCATCTGATGAAGCAGGGTTGGCCGCAAGTGCTTCAACCTCACGGTGACAAGTGACAGTCCCTCTTGGTCTGGAGCCGATGGCAGCATTTCTTCGTGACCATGCTTTGGATATCTGCGATTCGTCTGGCCTGCAAGCGATGGGCAGGTGGGGGCCATGGTCTTTCGGCACATGGGGGCCGCCACGGGGTTTTGACTCGCACATGCTGCTGATTTTTCCTGATTCCTTCGATATGGAGGGTTCTGAAGCGACCCAATGTGTCGCATGTGCGGGATTTGCCAAGCGCATTGCGTTCCTCAGGGAGCAGAGGAACAATGTAAGCGGCAAGCTCTTACAGCGCATCGCGTTCATTGGGATCCGCAAGACTGGTTCCACGGAGCAAGGACAGTTCATGCGTGATGAATTGAAGACAGTTGATCGGTCGGTTGAGGACCCCTTGGGACCACTCCATGATCAATACTTTGCCTCTTTGATGTTCATGCCACTTCGGCATCCAATCGCGCGGTTTCTCGCCAGATTCTATCAAGTTTATTTGCATTATTTAATGAAGTGATTACGAGTCTCTATGCGCAAGTGGGACCTTCAGTTCTGGACCATTACCTGTTTCGACACTCCTTATGCCAAACTTCTCCTGGCGAAGGGCCCAACGATGTGCGGCTGTGTGTAACGCAGGTGTGGGTATCGTCCTCGGTGAACCTCCCTCTGAGACCACGACGCGTGTGACCGGTGCCAACATTGGCACGGGTACGCCATGCGGACGCTGCCACAGGAGCCGTCGGTGCAGCCCCATCTGAGGCCACGAAACGCGTGAGGGGTGCGCCGAAATGCAGGGTGGCACCACGCGCGGGCGCTGCCACCACGGCCTTTGGTGGCCGCGAAACGTGGAGGGGGTGCGCCGAAATGGAGGGGGAACTGCATGCGGAACCTGCCTCTGGGGCCCAAAGTGGAACACTCCATGGGGCCACGAAGCGTGTGAGGGGTGCGCCGATATGGAGGGGGAGCTGCATGCGGACTTGCCACGGGGGCCTTGAATGGAGCACCCTATGGGGTAACGAAACGTGTGAGGGGTGCGCCGAAATGGAGGTGGACCTGCATGTGGACCCTGCCACTGGAGCCTACGGCGGAGCACCGTATGGGGCCACGAAACGTGTGAGGGGTGCGCCGAAATACGGATGGAACTGCATGCTGACCCTGCCACTGGGGCCTTCCGCGGAGCACCCTATGGGGCCACGAAACGTGTGAGAGGTGCGCCGAAATGGAGGTGGAACTGCATGCGGACCTTGCCACTGGGGCCTTCGGCGGAGCACCCTATGGGGCCACGAAACGTGTGAGGGGTGCGCCGAAATGGGGGTGGAACTGCATGCGGGCCCTGCCACTGGGGTCATCGGCGGAACACACCATGGGGCCACGAAACGTGTGAAGGTGCGCCGACATGGGAGTGGAACTGCATGCGGACCCTGCCACTGGGGCCTTGGGCGGAGCACCCTATGGGGCCACGAAACGTGTGAGGGGTGCGCCGAGATGGGGGTGGAACTGCATGCGGACCCTGTCACGAGGGCCTTCGACGGAGCACCCTATGGGGCCACGAAATGTGTGAGGGGTGCGCCGAAATTGGGGATGGAACTGCATGCGGACCCTGCCACTGGGGTCTTCGGCGGAGCACCCTATGGAGCCACGGTGCGTGTGAGGGGTGTGCCGAAATTGAAGTGGAACTGCATGCGGACCCTGCCTCTGGGGCCTTGGGCGGAACACCCTATAGGGCCACGAAACGTGTCAGGGGTGCGCCGAAATGGGGGTGGAACTGCATGCGGACCCTTCCACTGGGGCCTTGGGCGGAGCACCCTATCGGGCCACGAAACGTTTGAGGGGTGGCCGAAATGGAGGTGGAACTGCATGCGGACCCTGCCACCCTATGGGGCCACGAAATGTGGAAGGGGTGCGCCGAAATGGAGGTGGAACAGCATGCGGACCCTGCCACTGGGGCCTTGGGTGGAACACCCTATGGGGCCACGAAGCGTATGAGGGGTGCGCCGAAATGGGGATGGAACTGCATGCGGAACCTGCCACTGGGGCCTTGGGTGGAGCACCCTATGGGGCCACGAAGCGTGTGAGGGGTGCGCCGACATGGAGGTGGAACTGCACGCGGACCCTGCCACTGGGGCCTTGGGTGGAACACCATATGGGGCCACGAAACGTGTCATGGGTGCGCCGAAATGGGGGTGGAACTGCATGCGGACCCTGCCACTGGGGCCTTGGGTGGAGCACCCTATGGGGCCACGAAACGTGTGAGAGGTGCGCCGAAATGGAAGTGGAACTGCATGCGGACCCTGCCACTGGGGCCTTTGCTGGAGCTCCCTATGGAGCCACGAAGCGCTGTAATGGGTGGGTGAAACGCAGGGAGGAGGGAGGAGAGGGAGGAGGAGGGAGGAGGGGGAGGGGGGAGAGGAGGAAGGAGGATGTGGGAACGCGGGGCGCTGTCTCTTCAAAACGAGGACCCAACACCACAGGATGGTTGGGAACAACAGACAGGGATTCTTGCAAAGGAACGGCGCCCAACTCGAACAGAACGCCTCTTCTTGAAGCTCTTGTTGACATGTTGAGCGAATCGTGTTTTGTTTTCTTCCGACATGGACATCTATCCGCCAACGTTGCAGGCGAAGATGGAGGCGCAACGTTTTCCCAATGAACAATGTAGTGGCAGCTGACATTGCATCGATGAATCTTCTTTTCGGGAACATTTCGGAGACATTGCGCCCTCTC